TTTTTTGGACTTTTCTTGAATTTGTCTTGGTTCAAGGTTATAATGTACCAAATTTGGTCTCATTCGGAGTATTGGAAATTGAAATTTCCTCTGCTGAGATTTCAAAAATTTGTCAAGAATTTCTGAAATAGAATGTTAGCAAAATTTGCAAGAAAGTGCACTTTTGCCTCGATGTTTTATAGGTTAAAAAAAAAAAAATTCCAATTTGTTTGCATTTAGTTAGTATGGTCACCACTCTAAGAACTGGTGGCAAGTTTGGTTCAGATGACCCTTGGGTTTTGTTATAAATGGCATGACAAGTGGTCTGAAAATTTGGGCCTCCATTAACCGTCTCTCTCTCTCTCTTGAAAATTCAGTACCTCAACGGTAAAAAACATAGAAATTCGATCATATTATGACTCTAACTTTCTTCTGTTAACTGACTCTGTTTCCAAATTTTTGTGTTCTATGTTGCATGATTTTTATGACAATGTTTGCAGAAAACCTTTGAAAAGATGTTCTGACAATTTTTGTGTAAGTCCATTTTATGACAATGTTTGCATGAACCCTGAACTTGTTGCACTGGAAGATGAGTTAGGGATAATATTTGATAAAATGGACTTACACGAATCATCATCATCAGGAGCAGGTGGCCTCGACAGAACAAGTATGCTGAGTCTGAAAAGTGGCGACAGGTGGGAGATGCAAACTTGCGAAAAACCAAATCGATAAACTGGACCGAACAAATGTTGTTCTGACAGGTTACACGCAACCAGAGCGATTTTTTAGCCTGCATTCAAATAATGGAGATGGCTTAATGAACAGGTTCAACGTTTATATTCCAGATGTGGAGAGCAAGATGTATTCAGACACTGATGGGCCAGAGGCACCGGATGAAAGTGTCTTCTTAACTGATTATCTTCCAATTGTTGAGGAAATGGATTATTGCTGTCAAGTCCCAAGTGAAGCGTCGACAAAACTTTCTGAGGTGTGTAAAGAGCAAAAACAATGTTTTTTCTCGTACTTTTTTTTTGGGAAGTTGAGAATCTGTTTCAAAGTAATGGTCTCCTTTGTAATTTTTTTATCGTTAAAAAAAAATGTATTTTTTTTTAATAGAGAAAACAATTCAAAATATCCAACGAAATCATGCTACCCTGCGGTGATAAAAGTACACACGGGGTCAATAAGTTTTCACAAATGGCTTCTGTTCATTGATGGGGAGTAACACTTGTTGGAAACTGGGGGAACATTACCAGCTTCGATTTAGCTGCTTTTCTGTTTTTTTAGTTGTTCTATTCTTCCACATTCATTGTCATTTTTCTCACACAAAGTCTAACTGCAGTGCTTTGGTTTCAATGTGTCGAACAACTTTTCAAAAGAATATGGTTGTTACACCATCCTATCGCAGACCAAGGGACCACCAGAGTGACACATTACTGGCTCAACCATAACTCCAAGACAAAATTTGTAAGTGAATATAACTATTTTCAGAAGATTTTGAAGGACCTGCAGAAGACGTCCGACGATGGAAAGGGAGGTCAGTTGTAATATTGTCCTATGATTTTCATTCTTCCAAAAAAAATGTTTTCAACGTGAAACAGGTGTTTACAACAGGTCAGTTTGAAAGATATTGGTACGAACTATAGTCATACCATTTTCCCTTAAAACTTGTGTAATTCTCGCAGTTTTGCATATCTGACAATTTTTCTCTTTGCATGCCTTGCCTACAAAATGGGCTTGTCTACAAAATGGACTGCTTGGTTGGACGAACAAGGGCTATCTCTGCAAGGAAGAAAACTTATGGAAAAATCTATAATTAAAAAAAAAACTAGAATTATGAAGAAAAAAATTGAATATCTTTCGTCAGACCCGTGACATCAAAATTAGTTATTTTCCAATTCAATTCTATAATATTGTACTTAAAAGTGTTTTTTGGACCCTGCAAGGGTCAATTACCTCAAGTGGTTCTGATCTACACTACTATAGCAACTGCTAAGCGACATAAAGAACGGTCCGGATTCTAGCCCTAAGGATCTCGCACTAACAAGAACAAATTCTCATCAGCATGAGATCTCTGCCATCTGTGATAGTGATCGACCTAGAATACGGGCCGTTCGCATGAACGGTACCTTTTCGGCCCGGACTCCAGCGCTCGAAAAGCCCATTTTTTTGCCGCCAGCATCGGGCCACCGTCGAACGCTCCCCAGTACCAGCCCACCCTCGATGAACCGACCTGGCGCACGACCTATTGAAAACATTGTTTTTGTGGAGGGCCTACTTTTATTTTTGTGGGCGGCCTATCTATGTAGTGAGTGACCTACCTACCGTGCGGCTTATATGTTGCTATAGCGGCCTACCTTTTTTTATTGTGGGTGGCCCACCACAGTGCGACCTATCTGTTGCTACAGCGGTGCTGCCTACCATGCGACCTTCCAGTAACGCTGCCTACGACCTACTGCGCGACCTACCAACGACGCTGCCTACTACCTACAGAGTGACCGATGACAACTTATCGGGTTGTAGCGCTCTCTCCCTCTCTCTATCTCTTTTTGTCTCTCTCTCAACCCCCTGCTATGTGAATCAGTGGTGCTCTGAGTGCGCTCCTTCTCGGTGTGGTTCGACTTGGCCCTACGCGCTTTGATGCTACGTGAATTGGTTCTCTCTCTCTCTCTCTCTCTCTCTCTCTCTCTCTCTCTCTCTCTCT